ATGACTATGACTATGTTAATGTCCTTGTCAAAGAAACTACTTATATGATAATTATATGTATTTCTGATGATAATAATAGCTTAATTATATTGTATTATATTATCTGTGAAAATATATAGAATGTTAATTATGTATTACATAGGTATATGATAATCATATAGTATATGTATATCGGATGAGATTGTTATAGTAATCTGTCAATGACGTATAGAACGCGATATGTGACGTGCCCATTTTCGCTAGGTTTTTGAATTTAACGTTGTAGAATAGAAGAACTCTCAAAATAGTTTTATTTCGTTATGGCTGTTTATATTACCAGAGAATCTGAAAAATAAATAAATACTATATATAATTACTATATATATAATATATAAATACTATATATATAATATAATAATAATGAAAACATGACTTTTCAGTCTGGAGAACTTCGGTAGAGCTCGAGAGCTTGACCTAGACTACATCATTCTACTTACTTTCTAATTTACCTACTTATTTTAAGACCTTTAAGGATTATCTACAAACGGTGGAAACTCATGGTGACCCTAACTAGTCGCGTTCAAATTATGATTTTACCTATTCAACCTCATGAAAAGATCTCGATATATTTGAAGAGGCGTAGATTGGTCGATTTGTTTTATCCACATTTACGTGGGCAGATAATGATTGTTATAGTAAAATATTGTTATTGATTTGTTATTAAAATTCGATTAAACTGTTTTGTAATAGGCAACTGCGGGATCAGTGGATGTCTCTTTCGATTTGATATCCCATTAAATTTGAACGGAATTTATCCGTATTTACACAAATTGTAGGTGCATGTTTATTAATCAAGATATTCATAAGATCTAATATGTAAATAAGTAAGTTATTGGTAGTAAACTTTTCTCAGATGAAGAAATTATATTAAAATAATAAGCAAGTATGTGATAACAACGCTAAATGCTAACGCTAAAATTACCAATCGGGTGAAAACAAAATTAATATTTAAAAAAAAACTATAGGTTAAGGTTCGCTGCTTCCATTGTGTAAAACAAAACAGTTGTTTTGTAAATTTACATTTTTTCTTGTAATAAATTTACACCCTTAAAAATATAACAAAGAAGAGTTTATTAAATTAGTTTTTTTTTTATTTCAAAGATCTAGCAGACAATGAGTCGCTGTCGTACAAATAGGCGGGTTCGAAAAAATGGCTAGATCAGCAAAAACTTTCGAGATTTCTTGCGAGCGGCCTCTTTTAGCAAGGTCATGATGACTCATCATCTTTAATATCCTCCTCCATATGTCACCAGGTATTATGTTCGATTCCCGAATGGTAGCGAATATGACATTGACAAAGGGCATTGGGATAAACTTTAGTCAGAACAATAGCCGGTTTTTTTGGTTTTGAGTGGTGAAAAAAATGTATCAAAATTTATACAATTCTCAAAATGGGAGCACCTGTCACTAATTGCCACCTTTTGGCGGCGATGTTCTTTGTAACCAGGAAAAAATGCAATATTATGTGATTCTTTTTCTGAATGGCCTATGAGTCGGTTGTTAATAAACAAAATCATATTTATAGAGACAACGCGATGAGAACATGGGAAGAACATGAATCAAAATTGAACCAAAAAAAGTATGGTTATTTTTTATGATACGGAATGGCCAACAAGCTGGCGGCCTATCTAATGGTAAGTGGCAACCATAGACTATATAATATAACAATAATAATCTAAACATTTCATACAGCGCCATCTAGTTCCAAGTTATTATATATTAGCTGGACTTGTGTCATGGGTACTAGAACAACTGATAGAAATACTTAAATGCATTTTTTAATACATACATAATAGACATAGAAAACAAACCAATGCAAATAAAACTCAAGAATGCAAGTGCAAGGATTCGAACCAGCGATTATCGGAAGGTGTGCCATCGTGAATAGCACCACAGACATAACGTGTACCGTCCGTGTAACGTCCGTGGTATTACTCCCTTTTTGCAATTTCGGAAGATAATTTTACAGGAATATAATAAATAAATAACTCTGGATAATATCTAGCTCTTCAACCGAAACACAACCAATTACCATTAGGTACGCTGTATGATTGTTTGTGAATCCATAAAAAAGGTACTCTTGTGAATACAGAAAACGTACAGACATTTATTAGTTAATAAGAATTCACTACAAAACCAAATGTGCTCATCAACATACAACGTAAGTTAACATCTGCCTAGTGAAAAAAAACACGACAGTAATGTTATGTATCTCTATTCAATCATATTACGCTGCATGTATCGAATCAATCATCAATTTGAATACATTTCGATACATCGTCTATCGGTATATCTATGTAGTAACTTAATAAAAATCATTGTACGTGCCCACCGCATGACTTGATTGAAGGTTTGAAAAACATGAATGGACTGTATTCTATATTCTTTTTCAAACTAACGCGCTTTAAAATATATTATGATGAAAAAACTTATCAAGAAGCCGCTGTGATCTAGCGACTAGTTGTACTGATAATAAAGGTTTGAGGTTTAAACTTGCCAAGATACAAAACCTTGCGTATCAATTTGACTGTATGTAGTTGTTCCACAACATGTTACTTGTAAATATAACCTAGAAAGCGAAAGAATTTCTGACTATACGGTGTTTATTGTTTTATAAGATATTAGTCAACAACTGACCTTTTATAAATAAAGAATTAAAATTAAATAAAAAAAAAATATAACTGTGAACAAAACTCATCGAAAAATATTACGACTCCAAAAGATAACTCCTAGATATCATTTTATTTTATAAAATATACTACAAATAGTCTACGTCAGAATTATTATACATATAAAACGTTTGTATGAAATTCAAATGCTTTCTACAAATCAATTAATTGTACAGATTCAGTTAAGACATCAAAATTTATATCCAATGTGATGACTGCGAATTAATATTTTGCCAGAACGATGCGTGCGTGATAAGTCATACTTACTTGGTTGTTTAAACGACTTAACAAAGTCGCTAGTGATGCCAAGGATTACTATAAGAATTTTATGACGGGTAATGGTGTATACAAAAAATACTATAGCATAGGGTTTTTCAAGATAGGTATATAAAGGTTTCTTTAGGGTCAGCAACGAGCACGTGACACCCCTGATGTCTCGGGCCCTATATGCTACGGTAACCATTTACCATCAGATGGGCCCTATGCCTGTTTGTCACCATCGTAATATTAAAAAAAAAAACAAATACAAATATACCGTAACGATTGTTATCACAGGTGGAGTAGGCAGAGGTATTATTAACTGTCGATGTTGTGGAGAATGTAACTTGTGGCATATCCTCAAATTACATCATAGCTACCATAATATGTTTAATTTGGAATTCAACATGGCAATGGGCGAGCTTTGCCATGTTGTTTATCGCCGTCTGATATCAATGTTTCCTTCACTGAAGAGTCAGTCAGAAATATAAATTGACAGAGAAGTTCCACGCACAAACAAACAATCAAATCCTTCCTGTTTATTATATTATCTGTAGATTAGGAAGGGTGGGTCTCTTCTATTAATGTAACCACGTCCGATCGCCTGTCATACTGTTCTAGAAACCATCGTGGTTATGCACTGGTTAATTTGCCACGATATTATATTATCTTCCATTCGCCCCCCATTTGTGTACATCATTAACATAAACGGGAGCACAATTTCATTATCATTTACAAATATGTACTCTGATCATATAGTTATGTTCAGACTATCATCTATTGTATCTATCAACTACGCGTCATAGAAACGAATATTTTTTGTATGAAACTGGATTTATTGAGATAGTCACTGTATCTATAAAATATTCTGAGTACCTCTCCCTCACATATTTCTTCATAATAAAAAGTATGGTCCTCTTTAAGAGTAAGGTAGTATGGTCACTTAGCGTTCAGAAATGGCAACGTATGAAAGGTACCACGGGATTTCAAAGTATGTATTAACTGTGATATAATCCATATATATAGTTACATATACTACCTTCCATCATGTAGGCCATATGCTTGTTTGCCATACCTAAAATACCTACTCAATACACATAGGAATACATGGAAAATTCTCAAGATAATTTAATAATTTAAATTAAATATTAATCGATTGCGATTTGTGTTCAATTCAAAAATTTAAAACAAAATCTAACTAACAATAGCACCAATAAAACATTTGTTATGATATATACAGACCAATCCAAGGCGAGATCACCACACCAGCGTCGATGGTATAACATATTGCCATCCCAATTAAGGGTGCACTCCCCGCTGGGAACTGACAGAGGCTCAATTTAAATAGCCAGAGCACGATCCGACCCTTAAATGTTAATACAATTTAGTGAATTCAAAAATGTACTTTAACATCCACAAGTGAAGGTTCATAGAAATGTAAACAGTAAATTTGTAGGTTACGAAAGAAACTATTAGATATGCCCTCCGGTCATTCTGCACTATCTCAAGAACTTTCAACTGTTCTTGTCGTTGACAATGAGATATTGTATAATTTTGTTGTTTACGTTCTTAATTCGAAGCAGTGGAAAAAAAGAAATATAAATAATAAAATAAGGTTTGACTGATGGGCTGACTGTGGACTATCCACAGTCTCTGAAATTATTTTACTTTTTCAAAGTTTTTATGAATTATTACAATATTTCAGGTGATAAGAATATCCTCGAAATCTTATACATTCGATTTGAAACAAGAAGTAGTTAGTCACCTAATATAGCTATAAATAAACGAAATCCATTATTTTCGTATAACTTGTATTTAAAAGTATTTTAGAGGGTAGAACACAACTGGGTAAAGTTGTTATTAATGTTTTTAAAATTATTACACTAGTTTACGCTTGATATTTAAATTATTAATATGCTGCATTATTTATACTTAATACAAAACTATTACCCACCTTACATTATTAATAAGAACTAGAAGTCATCTATGATGTTTCGTTTTTGTACAATATGTAGAAAATTTTCGAGTTTTATCCCAAAAAATGTAGTAGTACCACCTTGCTTTTACCACAAGTACACCAACAGCATCTCTAGAATCAATGTAAACATCCGTAAATCATTTCCCACGCCTTCCGCCAGCCAACACCATTTGTCTTCTATGAAACTATCGCCAAGTAAGGTAAGACCGATGTCCGATCAGCTAATTAAAAGCAAACATAATATAAAAGGTACATTGCAATAGCAGAAGTCACGAAGACGAGTGTAGCCTAGAGCCAACTTTGATGGATAAGATTGACTGCTCTGAGTATTGTAGATTAGTTAGACTACAGAAACTAAGGATAATGTATATGCTACATAAATATTTTAGTCATGATTATCTTATTACAGAATTGTATGAAAAAAAATTTAAATGCAACTGTAATATTTTTTTAAAAAAGAAAAACTAGAGCAGGTTTTACTTACTTCTTTGTATGTATAAGTATGTTACGCAAATTTTAAATATATTTATGAAAATTGATTTGATTTCGATGATTCATTTAACTTATTTTGTAATTTGATTGGTGGTATATTTTTTAGTAATTATTGTTTGTTATTTTTTTATTTTACTTTTGCAGTACTCACCTTGCATATATCTATAATTTCATTTGGCACAATTTACCATGAATTGAAATATAATTTATTTTAATGAAATCACTTTCTTTGGAAATTACATGCATTTAAAAATAGCATAAGAATGTTCAATATATATAATTGAAGAACATGACTTCTGATAAAACGGTGCCGTAAATTATTTATTCCTAACAATAAACTTCGTATCTGTATCTCTCACTTACTCTACAATCATTCATTCATTATTTCCCTTCATTACTAACATCAATTAATTTCTTTGTTCCAATGTGTCAGTCGAAAATTGAGCAGCAAACACTAGTTACGAGTTTTTTTTACTCATTGACTGAGACAAACAATGTGTATGAAAAACGACCTGTCTCTTTATATGATGCTTAATGAACTACGAAATGGTGTGGTTATAACTAATAACATGTGTAATGGACTACACTCCCTTGCCAGTTTGATTAGTATATTATTTTATAATTATTTCAAGTTTGTTGGATGTTGATGTTTGTTTTTGTTCTCCCAAATACAGCAGTAAAGGAGAATTATTATTATAATAACATATGTATAGTTACTTGAGTATTAATGTTATGAACACTATTTTAAATATTTTCCCTGTTATTTGCATTTGCTCACATTAGGTATATAAACTACATATTTACCATTATGACATTGTTAAAGATTTCCTGATTTTTCGATGCTGTTACAAACGTCTTGTTTACGTGTCGTGTGAAGATGAAGGTTGAAAAAAAAATTCGAGTAAACAAATCTATCTAGCCGCTTTCTTAGTATTTTACTACATACACCATCCCCACTACTGACTGGAAAGCACTTGAAGGTCACTCACTGTCTCATTTCGACTAACTCACTAAATTTGTTATGTTCTTTTTAAAATATGTATTAGATTTTAGTAATTGACATAGTAACATAGTAAACCTTTTGTATTCTAATTTTGTTTTCCTTTATCCCCCAAAAAATTAAGCTAAGTACCTATGACAAAACCAAAAATACATTATTATAGTACAAGTGCTTCTAAATATATTTACCAACTTCGTTTATGTATATTTATATCCAATTCTCAGTAAAGTGTAATAAATAATGTATAAATAGATATCTATTGTCAAAATCATATGGTACAATTTTCAGAAAAAAACTTTTCATTCTGTTATGTGTTATTTATTTTTCTTAGCCCTCTGGTTACCGAGGAATGAATAAATTATTTATTTGTCAATCCAATTTCAAAGCTCACGAATTATCTTTTATATTTGCCGTGAATTGAGAGATTAAATCATATTTTTCAATCTTGAATATCTCATTAAAACGCGCATAAAATCGTGTCCGGAATGACAAAGGATTGTTGGTGATTTAGGAGATACGCGAATATGTCAAAGTAGTAAGTAAATCACTGAGGATCGTAACAAGCTGTAATGATTTATATAAAGCAATTAAAAGCGCAGGTTTATTAAGGCTGCAATTCCATTGTGCTGTGGCCTGCCATTCTTTTTACTGCAATTCGAAATGCCACTAGCTAATCTTTTATATTTCATTGATTATTATTTACTTGGCACTATGTGTTTTTGTTTCATACACAGCGCGTCGTGGCCTAGTGGTTTTTAACCTTGATTTGCACCCATGAGATCATGAGTTGTAATCTGACCGAGAACAAGAAACAACTTCGCATGTCAGCATATAATTCTGTTTCTGTTGTAGGCTGTGGAGGTAATAAAGTGATAAGAATTTCTAGATATTATTATATAACTCATATATGACAAAAAATATTTTGTGAGGATTACAAAATACTGTGTAAAAGTTATAGATAAAAAGTATAGTTAAATTAAATAAATGTTTGGGTATTTTATTTGTTATTTTGTTGTGTATGGGTTTTGGAGACATTTACTACACATACTTGCTTATAATATAATTATAATTATATTTCATAATGCTCACATTTTCAAGTTCTCTTATTGTTTCTAATATTAGGCAAATAGGCAGTATAAATTTCTAATGTATTTATATGAGTCGATATTTCAAGCACAAAATATTCATGAATCAATACCAATGATCCATTTCAACTGAATGAGATTAAACCAATTCGATTCGCCGCGTCGTTCCAGTCATCATAAAACATTTTTTGACAATTTTTTAAGCATTTACACCGATAAAATTACGGCCAGGTTGTATCGTGTAAATCATTAAGTTTGAGGTTTTGCGACCCCCCATCAAAGGGTGGAGCGACATACAATATTGTGCGTTTAGTGAAAACGATCGCACTCAAGTTTGAATGGAGCCATAAACCACGGGAGGACTCGACCCGATGCAATTTACGAAGTATTGTCGTATGTTCAAGCAAACTTCTGTGCAAACAAATATTTTTCTTAAAGTCTGTCTTTTAAGATAATACCATGTGAATTGAAGTATACATACAATGTTGTACAAATCCTCTTAAAGTTGTATTTTAAGTAGAATGGTAAAGTAAAGCCATCAAGTTAAGATAAATAATACTTTTAAGTAAGTACCTATTCACTTATTTTTGACCAGAGACCATTGTAGATGTTTTAGACTGTTTACAGGATAGCATACACGTCGCTTTAGAATATCCTATATACCTCTAGAATGACAACGCATGAGTGTCATCATGAGTGTCACATGATATCGTAGTGGCCGTAGTGCTAGTGCTACCGTTTACCATCAGGTGGGCCCTCAGCCATTTGCCATTACAATTAGGTGCATAAGAAAAATAATAGTGACTCCTTATAAATTAATTAAAAATCTATAATAATATTTGAATTCCATTTAAAATGTTTTACCTAAATATAGCTAAAACAGTACATTCTATCACAGTAACTATTAAGAAATTGTGTGTTAATATTATTAATCTAACGTTTTTGTTGCATTGACCCAAATTAATTACTCCAGAACAGAAGTCATTTGTTCAAACGCTGTTTACATAATCCCCATCGGAAGCACAAATAATCGTACGAAAAAAAAACACAAAATCATTAAGCCTCAAAAAATAATTAAATTTTATAACATCCCCGCCTATTTTTGGCTACCAAAACCACTCCCGTTTTGTATTCTATTAAAACTTAATTAACTTTTTCTTGGGAGTTATAAATTTTAATAAGCTTTTAGACCGAAAAAGGACTCGATTTGTTTTGCTACTTCCAGACGTCACTTGTCGTTATGATAAATGTATTCTTCGTTTATTAGGGTCCGAAGTTCGAATGCCGAAAGAATGGCACCGTCACGGGTGTTATAGAATTGTTTGAGGTTTTAGCGGATTGTTAAATTAACATGCTCGGTTCGGGAAATGTTATCTCTATGAATGTAGAATTTATTATAATTTCGAAATCAAAATAAAATACAACTTAAAACACATTACAGTCAATCTATTGTATATATGTGCATTTATATGTCTATATTTATTTACCTTTAAGTCTATTCCATTTTACGTATATATTTAATGCTTTTTGTTTACAAATCAAAATTTTTTTTTTACGTTGCTATTAACGTAAAAAAAAATTAAACGTTGTATTGTGGTACTTATAAATTTAACTAATCAAGCCATTGCCACCATATTCAAGACAATTCGAATTTTAAAGTATAGGTTATAAGTTTTCCTTTTTAGTTGTATTATCATACAATATTAGTGGCTGATAAGAATTATACAAAACCATTACGCTATTAAAAAAATGTATATTGTGATACGACAATTCGAAATTTAAAAAATTGCATCTAATTTACTGGTATACCATAACAATCCTTGTTTAGAACAGAATGTAAGAATGCAAGCCACGCAGGACATGCCTCGAGGCGGTCACCGCTCACCATACACCCGCACCATATTTCACGGTCCCACTCCAAAGATTTCGGGAACACCCGCTGTGCTTCTGAATTAAGTAAAAGCCTTCGAGCTCTTGTTTCTTGATACCTCTAGTTGGAAGTTAAGCTGTGTGTATACTGATATCTATTTCATGTTTAAATTGAAAAAAATATTAAGGATATAAGAAAAAAAATTCAATCTTTAAGCAAACTCCTTAGCAAATATGTAGGCAGAATAGAAATTGATATTAAAATGCCTCTGTCTATTCTTTCTCTTTCATAACTTGACGTTTGATGTTCAGATAATGTCAGCCCAGATTACTTCCTGAGACACACAACCTGAAATAGCTTATCCTAGAGCGGGCTGCTCAGCAGGAAAATTTCTATCCGATTCGACACACTTTATACATGCCCGAAAGAACGTTTTTTTGCATTGACAAGTTTGAAAGATCTATCAGGGTTTAATTTTTAAATTCCTATTTTTGAATTATTTCTTCCATTCTACTTGAAGAAAGGTTCTTATGGAGTTATTCTTATCTCCAAATTTTCATGTGGACTTGTTTAAAAAATAATGTAAAAGAACATAATGTAAAAATATCAGTATAAGAAATTATTCTAAATACTTTTTTTCTTTGATTTAAAATAACATATAATAATGGAAACTATATTCAGAGTTTTAATATCGATGTGTCTTCGTCCCTATTCGGCTTAATAGATGTCTCGACCCAATTTAACATTTGACGTGTTTTTAATTTAACGTCCACGCCCGCGGCTGCCGTCTGGGCACCTAAATAATGTACATATTTTACCCAAATCATACCCCTCCACTCATTACCTCCCTCATTTGAATATCAACCTGGTGTTTATGGTAGATTGTTTCAAGAGGATTCTTTGACACATTTTTATGTTGATATTTTTTAGGGATAAGTTAAATAGAATGTTGATATCTATTACTTCTAGATTGGTGAAGATCATATAACCACTCTAGTGACAGTACCTACATTTCATAATCAAAACTAATCAACGAGAGTTTATTTAAGTAACACAAAACGAATGATCCTTAATATGCCAATCTTGATAAGATCACAAAATATTTTTTTTTAAACATTGCTATGCCAAATAGCCCTATTTTTAAGACACCGGGAAATCGCAGTCCTTTAGTTACACTATTTACGACTTCGTTCTTTTGTACACTTTTATACGTAATTTATTTACGATAATCAAACAACAAAAATAAACCATTCATAAGATTCCATCTATTATTTGATTATTAACTGGATTAACAGTAATGGATAATCTATTGAAAATTTAAAAGAAAAAATACAATTTTACTCCTTTTATACCTTTTCCTAACATATATATATGTTGTCCCATTTTTAATAACATAATTTGTGAATATTTCTTCCTAATTCCTCCACCGTTTTTATATAGTTATATACTACAATTTTGTACAGTATTATATCCTTACTAATATTATAAATGCGAAAGTAACTCTGTCTGTCTGTCTGTCTGTCTGTCTGTCTGTCTGTCTCGCTTTCACGCCAAAACTACTGAACTGATTTAAATGAAATTTGGTACCTATATAGTCTAGACGCCGAGGAAGGACATAGGCTACTTTATAATGCGAAAAAAGGGTTGTAAGGGGTTGAAAATGGTAATGCAAGGTTATCTTTATGCGGTTGAATAAACACTTATTATAATAATGGCTTAAATAAAAAATTTGATATTTTGGAAAGTCTACTTTATAGTTGTGTTATTAAGTCTATTTTCAAAAATTTTTAATTTCTGAATTACACCAGTATTGTACTAGATATGCGACTTATTAACGCTCATATGTCATAAATAAACATATATGTCATTTGTATAAGTTGCGCGCGCAACTGATTATTGTCAATCCGTTGTCTCCTTATGAATTTAAATGAATAAACGTTTGCTCTGCAATTTTATTTTATAAATACATAAATATAATCCTGGTATAGCCTATAACTGATGACCCTGCTCTTGGACAAGAGCGTAAGAACATATTATTAATATTTTTGAAGAATAAAACAACATATAATATTAAAAATGTTGTCAATACATATGAACAACATTTCCTTGGAAGAAATAACATCTACCGTTCCATCCGAGCTATTCAGGTTCGGAATACGCGTTTCTCCATTCTGGCCAGTAGAGTCAGAGATATGGTTCGCGCAAGTAGAGGGATAGTTTGCAATTTAGAATATCACATCTATTATTTTGATTTAACAAAATTTTATTATGTTATTGGCCAACTGGACCACCAATTTTCAAAAGAATTTAAAGAAATGTTTAAACTGTTTATTAAATATAAACAAATATGATATTTAAATTTGTAAATATCACATTGTCACCATTCAAGGGGTAAAATAAAATAACAGATAAAAGTTTTTA